ATACAGGCACTAAATCTCCTTTTTTAAAACTTGCGATTTAGATTTCATCAGTGGAAGCGTTTGGTTAGGATACGTGCTTTTTAAAGGTTTTCTCTCAACTTGATATCTGCCTGTCAAACATGAAACTCGACAAGGCTTCGATCTGTTCATCGTAGGCTTTTAGACAACCAATGAAGATTTTGTGGTGATACCTTGGATAGGCAACGTGGTACGAGCAGCAGCCATTGATATCTGACGTCTTCACAAAGATAGTGAATTGACGAAAAACGCACCGAGTCTTGAAGACTAGTTTATTTTCAAGTTAATGATCTTAGTTAATCTGTAGTTAATAATCTTATAGACAACAGACAAAACCACACAGAAGGACCCAGGGTTTTTGCTACATGTAAGAACGGGGAAGAGGCAAAAATGAAAAGAAAAAGCTGAATAAAGCAAGACAAATGTAAAACGGAGACTGAACAATCTCGCTTTTATATATAGGGTGCATGGATGGAATGAAGACTTGCTTTTATTTTCTTTCCCTCGTTATGGTATTTTGTCTTTAGTAAACTAAAGAAACTAAGAGGGGATGGGACTCGTGACCGTAGTGCTCTTCCCGGGATCCAACAATGCTCCTGGTCTCCACGTAGTCAAAAAGTGCAGAAAACACAGAGATACTTAATGATAATGATGATGGGAACCTTGTTGAGACTTTGAAAACCGCTGGAGAATAAAAATCCTCTCATTTAGAGCTCAGCTTCATCGAACTTCAAAAAGTTAATATTAACAAAATGCACCTCCTGGCACTCGTATATAGTCCTCAAAGTCTGCGAAGATTGAATTCGCCGATGGAAATTTGTGAAGTAAATACGAAAGCCCTGCTTATAAAGCATTTCCAGCATCCTTGCCCTTGTTTGGCTTGGTTTGTCCTGGAATTTTATCCCCAGTTGCTTAACACGACTAAGGCTGCCTTCTTGAATGGCAGTAGGAATGGCGTCCCAATGATTTGCCTCTAGGTCCATTTTAACGTAGTCTAAGACCCTCTGGAAGCAATTAAAACAAGTATAAGACCTCGGACAGTTTAGCAACTCCACTTTTGTACATGTAAGTCAATTCTTAGTCGTTTTCCTTAAAGATATAAATGCATTTGCATACATAAGTGGAACATGGTCTTAACGCCTTTGCATGTATTCTACTTGAAATCATGCATGTCTCACCTGTTTACTTTATGACTGCACAGGCCCGTAGCCAGGGGGGGTTCAGGGGGTTAGAAAGAACCGCCCCTTTTGTCAGGAAAAGGTCCATTTTGGGTAAAATTTGATCTAGGTACACGTAAGTTTGATTGTAAAAGGTCCACTTTTTTTCAGAAAAAGAACCCCGCTTTTGAATTTGCTGGCTACGGGCCTGCTGCAGCATATGCACCGAGAAAAAGATGCATGTTGCCTACGGACTGCAGCATATGCACCAAGAAAGGCACATGGTTTTTTAATTGAAATGTAATTAATACAAATGGCATAAAGATGATAACATAAAACATTTGAGTAGTAAAATAATGTTCATGATGTATGAAATAAATGGGACTTACGTTTTCCTCACCCAACTTTGTCATAATAGCTCCTAGTGTGGCAGTTTTCTGTTTACTGTTGTTTTCACCTGACAACGCCAACGAATGAAACCAGTTGTTAGGCATTCGTTCTTTTTCCGGAAATTTCATACTGAAAATTATATGTAAATGATTACACACATGACATTTGTTGCTTGGTTATGAATTTTTGATTAATTTTCAAACAGCAACCTTATTCAGTCACCAGGCACAGAATAAACAAATCAAATGAGTTGCAATAAGGAGAGATTCAACTGAAACTAAAGATGTGGATTATGTGGTGATTGCATGTCGGCTTTTTAAAACTTTTAATACATGTTCCTTGTTGTACAACATACAGAAGGGATTAGCAACATATTTCAAAGCAGCTTAGCCTTGTATTTCTCCTATATTGTCTGAATACGCACAAATGCAAAATATGGATCCTTTTCTTGTCAGGTAAATGGTGACAATAAATATAGAAAATAATAATACTGAACTGTCAAAACTGTCAAAAAAAAAAAAAAAAAAAAACAAAAACAAAAAAAAACAAACAAACAAACAAAAAAAAAACATACATTTTCTCTTAAAATTTAAAGCCACATATCATGTGGGTGAAACTGATTCACGCCTAACCGATGTGACTTAAAATTGGATAGCGCAGAAAGCGTTGAAAACATGTTTATTAACATCACTGCGACAAAAGTAGATAAATGTCTGTATTTAAATAAATGCTGTGGTATCGTTTAATAACAGACTAGGCCTAAGATTATAATCTAAGATCATAAATACACACAGAGACTTGTTAATGTAACTTACCTAGAATCAAAAGAGTGAACCGTACATCCCTGGTTGAGCATGAAATCGTCAAATGACCAATCGCCATGGATCCTGAAAATAATAATAAAGAAACATAAAATAGTAAATGGAAAAAATTAACAACCAAACGTGCATTTTGAAGCCAACGTACAAGTCATATCTTGTTTATCTGTGTACTTTGCACATCTTTAAATATATATGAATGTGAATAAGAAGTGCATTTAAATCAATTTGAAATATGTAAAATATATAAAATCTTACCCGAAGGAATACACCAAGCACTTGTCTTTGACTAGATCGTATGGCGGATCTTGACACAGCTCCCAGCTGTCATCTATGTAGTCGACTTTTCCTGCTGGTTCCCGTCTACGGCAGTCAAACTGAATTCGAGCGAGATACCTTAAAGAGGAAAAACTGACAGGCTTAGTAGGGAGTCTTTTAATTGTGCAATAATTGGCGGGGACGCTATATTTACTCTCCTTCAAAACAAAATTAAGCATCGAAGCTTTCCCCACAAAAGCTTGTTGCTCCAGTAACAAAATTCTCCAAAATGCACCATTTAAACAAGATTACCGGAATATAGGGTCATGCAAACCACCCCTCCCCCCTACGGCCCCACATCGACATGGGTCTGTACCTGTGAGTAGCACTGGGGTCCCCACAAAGGATAAAAAACGTTGAATCGTGTTTCATTCTCCCTAAAACTAGCTCAAACGTCAGGGGTGGAAAACCTTTAAAATGCTTTGAATATGCACATGAAAAGCTCTAGCTTGCGAGGCGTTAATTCTATTCCATCCAGCTAAACGAAAGTAAAAAATAAAAATAAAAATAATTACTGCTACAGTATAGGTACCGTGCATATGTAGATTATCGCATGTTAGACACTATTGACATATGCCTTGTCTCTTGGTTAAGAACACCTGCATTGTAAATATTTGTATTGCATTCAATGAACTTAAGGCGCTATGTATTCAAATATTGATTCACATCTTGACCTTTATCAACTCTTCTTTGAGTAATTTTGATACAAAAAAGATGACGTTTCGAACCATTACTTATCAATGAGTATCAAACGATACAATCCAATTGGCAGTCACAATCAGACACAGATAGAACGATCGACCAGTATAGGTTTAGAATTCGTCACATTCTTTCTTAAGTAATTTTTACAGGTGTTTTCATTGTCCGAAACTATGTTTAGTGGGGTCTCTCTGTAATTCGTCCTCGACAAAAACCATGGTATGTTATTGGTGTGTGAACTAATATAATACAATTTGAAGAAATAAAAAATTGAAAATGACCCAGGTGCCCGTTTCACATAATAATTAAAGACGGAAAACTGGTATCATAGTTTGCACCAAAACAATAGTCTTTTTTTGACCCCATATAATTTAGTAAAAGTGATCCATTAAATGAAATCATGCGCCTGTTTTATAACCAGAAATTCACATCGTCTGCGTTTAGGAATCAGATCAATATTAACTTCATTTAACTTGGGACTTATCTTGAAGTGAAGCAGACTACATTTATAGTGTAAATATTTAGACCAATGTCCTGGCTAAAGTTCGTTTAAATTTGTGAAACGGGCCCCATGTACCTGAAATAATCTCTCTCCAGCACGTCGTAGTCCCCTGCCTTGCCCCGCGTACTGGAGGGATCCGCCACCATGTGGATGTTATCGTCATGAAACTGAAAGTGAGGATGGAACTCGTCGAAAATCACACCGAAGTGGGACGGTGTGGGGACTGGAGTCGTAGGACTACGCGTTTGGCGCTGAGTTGAAAGGTCTCTAGGTCCCTTTCGAGTAGTTGGGGCACGCTTTTTTGTCGTTGCAGCGTTGACAGGCGTTTGGCGCGCGATAGGCTGTCGCCTGTCCCCCTTGGCTGGTTTCTGGACTACTGGTGGTTTGACCAGCTCTTCTTTTGTTGCTTTCTGAATGATTGCTTTCTGTTCGGGTTGGACAATGTCGGGGCCAGGCTTGACTGGTTTTTGTACAGTGTCGCCTTTCACAGTCTTGACCTGGTCGACGGACTTCACCGAATCCTGTTTGAGAGCAGTGGTCTTTTCGTCTTCATTGTCCAGCCTGTCATTTACCCTCTCTTTTGAAACGGTTGGCTGTTTGTCGGATTTATCAAAAGTTGACGTCGCAGGGACCTTGAGAGAATCACTCTTTTGTTTCAAACTTGGCGTTGAAAGCATGGGTGTCGACGATGAAAATTCCACAATTGATAAAGTTGGAGCAGAACTAGTCAAGCCCTCTATTTGTGGTTTCTGGGATTTAGTTGTTGCCGAAACTGGCGGTCTTGACTTGGTCACTTGACCCGGTGACGTCAACGTAGTGACGTCAGTAGTTACAGTGGTCGCCATCTCTATTGAAGGATTTATTATCTTTTCGTCGGTTTCGGTTCCTTCTTGCGACACCAATGATGGGTTGCCGATCTAGAATTATACGAGATATGCAATGTAGCTATTTCAGTTCACTTTTCCCTCAGAGTAAGGGTAGGACACAAAATGCATTATATGTGACTGTGAGTGTTTATCAAATGAAAGCCGCTCGTCATTTCTTAAAATGACTACACTGCAGAATATAGTAATATGTACCAAAGGGTATCAACAAGGTGTGAAAATACAAAATCGAAAAATTTCAGCATAAAAAGTGATGGTTTATTTAGGCCGCATTCACAACCCATGTTGATCCACGGACACAGAGATCCGCGGATGAAATATGCTCAACCCAATTGAAAGATTGCCGTGTGATCCCCGCCGTGAATCTATTCAGTTTCTGTTAGGGGATTACGCTGCAAGCTTTCCAGTAGGCTGGCCACATTTTATCCACGGATTTGCAAGACCGCGAATCAACTTGTTGTGAATGCGGTCTTACAATGACCGAATGTTTCCTTCTCTTAAGTATAATGACCGAGAACATTAAGAAGTATTCGGAATGAAGAGCAACTTTTTGCACGTGTCAGTTTTCCCACTGAAAATTATATTTCACAAAAGCAATACTTACATATTCTCTCAGCGTTGTGTTGTAGTCCTTCCATTGAAAGAACACCCTCATAAACACAGCCACACCCACAAACAACACGCAGAATGCCACCCCTTGTAATACACGCCGGGTCTGCTGTCGCATTTTGATCAAACAGGCCGAAAGTTCAGACAGACATGTACTTAATATGAAGCAACTTGTCAGCTACTATGTACACTATATATGAATGCGAGTTTATATCACGAATAATTTATACACTTCACACAAATAATTTAAATCGTCAGGAGGTTTTGATTTATACGGGTCCGTGTACACTCACGCAGATACCACGGAGAGCAGTGCAGTGGAACAGAACTATTTGTGCAGAATAGACAGACAGCGTGTAAGAAATATGATAACCATGCCACTTCTGCAACATCATACGGATGAGCAAGTCAGACCGAAAGTGACCGAGCGTCAGTGCCCTTGTGTTACGGCTTACACACACTCCACATATGATCCAAATAATAATGTGGTCTTAAGCCTCGGTCACAACCGGCCGTACGGGCTCTTACGGGCTGTTTGCGTCCAATTTTTGCGCAGAATCTCACGTCCCACGCAAGACAAAGTCAAGATTTGAGTACAATTTCCACGGCCATCGTTCCTTGCAATTAGCGCCCCTGCTTGAAAGGAAATCTCATGTGGCCCTTGCTACTGGCAAGGCAGACTTTCCTTTACCTCTGCGACCTCCACGGCCTTCGCAACAACCAAAAATCGCAGTGGACGTACGACCTTGAAATTCGTGCGTCCGGTTGTGACCGAGGCTTTACATGATGCATTTTGAATGTGTGAAATGTAAAGCATAGAAGCAGTCTTATAGGTTATAGTGAACCAAATAAGAATGTGTAATTACTATAAAACAGTGTGCCACACCGGTACAAATGTCTTTGGCCAAGGTGTCATGTCACCAGACTTGACAACCCGTGAAACGCCACGTCTGCGACAATTAAGACACATGCTGCAATCAGCTGACGAAATAGGTCGATAAACTTAGAGCTAATACGCCAGGTGAACAGCTCGATGCAAATTGCTGACATCTGCGAACTCGTGACCATCAAGCGGAATGGTCTAGCCCAGCGTACGGTTTGAAAAAACTCAATCAGTATGAGCAGTTCGCCAGGGCGACCAAAGAAAAGGCGACAAAAGACCTAAACGAATGCATTTGGAAGATTGCGCTACAAGTATATCTAACGCATTTAAAACCCGAACCCAACATTTTTTGAGAATGTCCGCCTTGGTTATTACAACTAACATAATAAGTTAGCATTTTATCATATAGCCAATATAGATAACTCCGTCTTCATCTTTGCAGAATGCTTCACAGGGATACTTCCATCGGCCAGGTCTCCTCATTTAACTATCTCGGGACACTCGTGACATCCGGCGCCTGTTGCAAGAAGTAGAATTGGTTTCGCGAAAAATGCATTCATCTGTCTCTTCCAGAGTTGTGGGCTGTCCCATACGATAAAGATCCGCCTGCTCAAAACAGGTTTTCAATTCTTTTGTATGGCGGCGAGTCTTGGATTTTGACAGCAGAAACTCAACGCAACATCGAAGCAGTCGTAATACAAGCGAATGCTGTGAATTTCCTACATTGATCATGTCACCAATGTAGAGGTCCTTAAACGGGTTGAGCAAAAAGAGAGCTCATTAAGACAGCACCTCAGAGACAGAAAACTGAAGTTCATTCAAGCAGAAAAGAGGGATTGGGAAATCTTAGTCTTAATGGCAGAATGCCTGGCAAAAGGGCCAGAGACAGACAACGAAAAACCTTCCTTGACAATTTTGAAATTCTCACAAGACACCTTTGGTCAAGGGCAAGATCTGAAACATTTGGCAAAATATCGTTGATAGCACATGACGAAGAAAAACTTTACTGAGAAGTGCAGCCCTGAGGATATGTGCTTACTGTTTTTTCTTCTGCCCCCCCCCCCCCCTTACACAGATCGCTACCTGTACTTCCGCGACTTAATCTAAAAGACATTAATACTTTGTCCCCTGGTAAGTAATAAAACGTGTTAAAATAGAGACAAAATGATTGACAAATGCAAGGTAGGCCTACTGAGGGACGTTACCCATAAGCTAAACGATATTATTACACTTAAACCACGGCTAGCGCGTAGAACAAAAGACTCGGCCGTGCTGCATCGACATACTGTACAAGCACGGCATGTACGAGTGCATTCCACGGTCTTGCACTACTGGTGTAGTAGCCAATCAGATGCCGTGGTTTAAGCCAGATACAACACTCGTCGCCGAGCTGCGGCTCGCCAATACACTCGTAATATTTCACGTACAGTTCGGCGACTCGTATTATATCTATCACAGAAAAGACCAACTTTGCTTCTCCGTCTAAGCCCGTTTTTATTCAATATTGACAACCGTTATGACTACATTTTGCAAGCTATATCCAATTATTTAGATTTACCTTATTTTTCTACAAATACATGCCCTCTCCCACATAAGCACTATTTTTCTTAGGTTCTTTGTATAAAAATGTATCTACAGATACATGCAGTGCGACAGTATTCAATGTCAGGCACAATAATACACTCATTTAAACATATCAACATGTCTCATATTTTTATATAAAGCACACTGCATAAAAGTCTACAATACACAAAGGTATGCACACATTAAATAATTTTCTTGAATTTTTTCGTGTAAGCCTCCTTTTAATAGTACAACACACAGCAAACCTCGCAATTTGTTGCAATTTTTAACTGAAATGAGAAACAGACTATACATTATCCATATATTGGTAAGGCTGAAAAGAAGTTAACCTTTGCAGAAGAAAATGACAAATGAAATCATGAAATAGCAACATTATTTTGTAAACAGGGAAATACAATTAGTTGCTCCTATAATAAAGCATACATTGAACAAATTTACCTGATAACTATGTTAATAACAAAACCATCAACGAAAATATATGAACAATAACAGAACTACAATCTCGGTTATTTATGAGAATATACATCTAAGGGTATAACACTTTATGATTTTTTTTTTCATATTTATTCTTCACGGACTTTATGGTTTGATAATCCATACCCAAACAGCTGACAAAAACATGTCATCTTAATGGATTCACGTCTGTTATCTTGCCTCTTCAGAAAAAATATCTTTTTGTATTTTAATATAATTTGCTGAAAGTGAAATAGGTTTTAACTTAATTGGCAGCCTATTACATTCGCCTGCTAATTTCAGAAGACTCCATATTCTTGTAATATAAATATCATTCATGCTGTTGTACCAATTTCTCCAAGAACATAAGACCCTTTTACAGCAACATCTCCTCCTTCACTGTAATACAAGGTTGGCCAAACACACTGTATTGCATCTGGACCCTTTCCGTCATACACCCTATGGACATTCTTATCAAAGGGAATGGGTCCGTCACGAAGGTACTCGATGTGCATGGGTGGGGTTTGTACGTTCATGAACCAAGCAATTTCAATGCACTTTTCTGTGAAAGCTCGCATCGTCTTTCGGTGTAATAGCTTAATAATTTTAGTTTCTGTCAGTCCAGAGCCAATTGCAGGAATCTGGAAGATAATTTTGTTTCTAAATTTTTGTCGTCAGGGCACGGGTGTTCTGTTTCTGTGTGTGTGTGTGTGTGTGTGTGTGTGTGTAAAAAGAGAGAGAGAGAGAGAGAGAGAGAGAGAGAGAGAGAGGAGGAAGAAGAAAAAGAGAAAGAGAGATTACCTTTTTGCTAATAAACTCTTTTGGAAACTTTGTGGCAAATGTCTGAAATGAAAGCATTCCAGAATGTAGGAAAGTTTGGCGTAGTCAAACGAGATTTTATGGCGGCAACAATCCCCAGAGCTCATTTACGCACATGATATTGTATTATGAGAGACAAAATGTATGACGGTTTTTTTATATAGGGTGGTCTTGCAAGCACATTATTGGGCTGTGACAATGAGAGATGGCGCTGAAGTCGGCGACAGGTGCGGAAAATGGACATTTTAGCATTTGCGTCAAATTTCAATTTGTAATTGCATAAATCCACAAGCGATTTGGTCTAAAAAATGTATCACTCAACCAACATATTACTTTCAATATGATAATTGATTTTGAAGGTTAAGGTACCAACAATCATTTCAAAAGCACAAGTGAATCATAGTCTTCTTTACTTTTATATCGCGCCAAATTTGCTGTATTGGAAGTCTTACAGTAATATGAGCGATCACGTCTTTCTAACTATGGTAAGCCTATTTCGAATAAAACTTGCGATGTCCATTTAAATTGGCTAATTTATATTTCTTATATTAAGTCACATTTGTATCCGTTCGCGCGTTTAAATAAATGACGTGATGCTGCTGTGTTTACCGGTATTTCTGCAAATATCATTTTATGAACATCACGCTACATTTTGTTTGAAATATTTCTGTTCCACAGGCTAAGTGCAGGCTAAATGATAAATGGATTATTTGCAGGGATACGAAAATGAAAAAAAGATATATTTTTTTTTTTCGTCTTGAGCGACGCACATCTATTATATTGGCTAAATATACATTCATTTACAATGTCTTTTTTGTAAAATAGGTAATTGAAATTTATCAGTTAGCATTGTAAATTATGTGTAGTTTTCTGTAACTGCCTGAAATTAATCAATTTTACTCTAATGCAGTCAAAGGACCTATCCGTTCTCATGAGAGCACAGAGCCCTGCACGGTTTATTGCTTGTCTGATCTATTCAATTCTAAACAAAAAGTCATTTAGTTACTTTCACCATTTATCTACTCCCAATCGTATGTATAATCTCTGATAATGCCTAATGGATATTATATTTTATATGTTGATATCCCCCTCCCCACCACCAACATAATATTTCTATCAATACAAGGCAATGGCAATGTGAGAAGTCCGTGCCCCTTAACGCCATGTTACAAGTAGTAATAAAAACCCGGCAGACTTACTAAAAAAGGATAGGGCCCTCTAACTATGTACTTTATTCCATGCAATATGCGTTTTGATATATATTTTACTTCGTTAAAAAGAAAAACAAAATGTTCATTTTGGTTAGCATAACAAGTGTATGCACAAGATTTCAAAGGTAAGTGTTTGATTTAGTTTTCATTGAATAGGATAAACAAAAAGACCCGCGTTACTATTGATCTAAAAAGAGAGATGACATTGTGCGCGACTTAGTTAACTAAAGGGATAATAACTCTTCGTTTCGGCCAAAAAATGAATTTTCCTGGAGTATACAACAATTTTCCCATACTTACCAATGGTATATGAATCCATTTTTACATTCGAAGTTAGTCCCTGTTTTTTTTTCTAAAAACTTTGGTTTTTTCTTAAAATATCTTAAGAGATTTTAACAGAGTGAAGCCAGCAATGGAGGTCACGTGGTCTAAATACAAGTTCAGATATCAGAATAATAGCTATAACTGCCGTTTTTGTGGTAAAACAGAATATATCATATTTCTATGAGTTATTCACAATGTTTTTATTGTGAAATATAGATCTCAAAGAGTTATTATCCCTTTAAGTAATTGGGAGAGATACACATGTACATGTTTAATCAAACAATATTTGCCTAAAGGTAATAAGAAAGGAGGAGGGGAAGGAGGAAAGGCGGAGGAGAAGGAGAGGAATAAGCTCTTCTCATCTATAAATAGTATACTCATCTGCCTCACTCCTCATTCTTTCCTCCTCCTCCGCCTTTTCTCCCTCCTCCCTTCTCCTCTGCCTTTCCTCCTCCTCCTCCTCCCTCCCCTCCTCCTTTCCTCCTTCTTCCTCCTCTTACTTTCCTCCCGCCTCCTCCCTGTTAACCAAGGTGTTCCTTTAGGAGTAAAGGGTAAGCTTCACAATAAATAAAAATAGTAATCAATACGACCGTTTGTGTGCGTATAGACCACTACAACAGTTGCTTGACCAGCAAACAATACTGCTTTACTATATAACACTACCCGGTTAATAGTGTCATTCATTTAATGCTGACTGCTGTACATTCAAATACAGTTAATCTACTGTACTAAGTCGATCTACTGTACTAAATGTTCGCGAAGCACACACTATCACAATACTCTAGGTATTTAGCTTGTATACCTCTCTCTTTGTGAATTACAATAGTCTCACCTGACTGTAAGCGGACCCCTGTTTATTAACTAAGTTGCATACAATGCCATCTCTCTTTTTAGATCAATAATTGCTATAACAATAACTAGACGGAAAAACACATTCAGAAATTGACATTTATTAAGGAGCATTTCTGGAAATGGCAAGTATTGCAACGCCTGAATAAGGGTGCATTCCCACAGTTTTAGATCGGTCCAGAGATTTAGATTTAGATCGACCTAACTCCCTGGGGGTTCACTCTAAATTGCAGTCAGCCGAGCGCGCATCATAGTTAATTACCCCCTTACAGCTTTTAGTAGGCGGGACAGACGCTTAAGCCGGCTAAGCTGACAGTAATCTAGTGAGACTCCCCACAGGGATAGATCGATCTAAAATCTATGGGAATGGGCCTAAGATTTCTTGGTGCACTGTCATCTATCATGAAAACAATATCTCCAACTTGTACATCTCTACATTGTTTGATCCACTTTTTCTCTCTTGTAATGTTGGAAGAAATTCCTTTCTCCACCTGTTCCAAAATTCATTGGCTAGATAATGAACATGTCGCCATCTTCGATGAAGGTATGTGTCTTTCCTTATGAAATTCCCAGGTGGTGGCATCACGACCTTAGTTTTCAGGGTCAGGAGCTGATTTGGAGACAAAGGCATTGGAGAATCTGGTGACTGTGTATCAATGTAAGTCAAAGGTCTACTGTTAACTATGGCTTCTGCCTCAGTTAACAATGTGGACAAGGAATCATCATCTAAACGGTCACTGTGAGCTGTGAGAAGTCCTGATAAAGCATTTCTGGCTGAACTGATCATCCTTTCCAACACGCCTCCCATATGTGAAGCATGAGGAACATTCATTTCAAACTGAATCCAGTCACAGTGGTCTTTCAGAAGTTCTCTCCTGATCTTGTCCTGATCCATATCCATAAAGGCAGTTTCTTGCTCTCCCTTAACTACGGTCTGCTCTGAGTAGACGTACTGGTCCACGCCTGCATACAAAGCGTCTGTAGCAGTTAATGAAAGAATCTGTGCTGAGTGAATATGCAACTTCTATATGAATAGCACGTGATACTAAACATAGCACCATATCTCTTCATCTGCTTTCTTCCCTCCTTCACATAGAATGGCCCAAAGAAATCTACTGCACTGTAGGTGAATGGAGGTGCTGGTTCCAGTCTGTCAGCTGGAAGATCTGACATTTTCTGACTCTGTGAGTTTGCTCGTAGCTTACGACAGGTCACACATTTCCATATATATGATCCAATCTTGGCACGGCCAGAAATTATCCAATAACCACTAGCTCGGACTTCATTAAGAGTAATGCCACTTCCTGAATGTCCGCATCGTGTATGGTAGTGGTCAATTATGAGATTTGTAACGTGATGATGCTTAGGCAGAATCACTGGGTGTGTAAGCTCTCTGGGTAGATTTACCCTCTTTATACGACCACCTACTCTGAGTGGTCCATCTTCACATAGAAATGGGTCTAGGCGGTATAGTGAACTGGTTTTCTTGATTTGTTCGTTGCGATATCTTGCCTGTTTTCTCTCTGTGTGTTCACTGTTATCTTCTCTGTTAATTGCTTTCAGTATTTCAATTTCCTTCTCAAATGTAGCAGTCTGTGTTGACTTGAGAATGATCTTTTCTGCTACTTGTATTTCTTGAACATTCAACGGTTCATTGCTGGTCTCAACTGTGTTCTGCTGTGTTGATTTCCTGTTCTTAGCTTGTTTCAGCTTCTGTATGAATCGTAAACACCACGAAGCNTCCTTCACATAGAATGGTCCAAAGAAATCTACTGCACTGTAGGTGAATGGAGGTGCTGGTTCCAGTCTGTCAGCTGGAAGATCTGACATTTTCTGACTCTGTGAGTTTGCTCGTAGCTTACGACAGGTCACACATTTCCATATATATGATCCAATCTTGGCACGGCCAGAAATTATCCAATAACCACTAGCTCGGACTTCATTAAGAGTAATGCCACTTCCTGAATGTCCGCATCGTGTATGATAGTGGTCAATTATGAGATTTGTAACGTGATGATGCTTAGGCAGAATCACTGGGTGTGTTAGCTCTCTGGGTAGATTTGCCCTCTTTATACAACCACCTACTCTGAGTAGTCCATCTTCACATAAAAATGGGTCTAGGCGGTATAGTGAACTGGTTTTCTTGATTTGTTTGTTGCGATATCTTGCCTGTTTTCTCTCTGTGTGTTCACTGTTATCTTCTCTGTTAATTGCTTTCAGTATTGCAATTTCCTTCTCAAATGTAGCAGTCTGTGTTGACTTGAGAATGATCTTTTCTGCCACTTATATTTCTTGAACATTCAACGGTTCATTGCTGGTCTCAACTGTGTTATGCTGTGTAGATTTCCTGTTCTTAGCTTGTTTCAGCTTCTGTATGAATCGTAAACACCACGTAACAACTCGTGTTGCTCTGTTCCAGGAAGAAAACCTTTTCAATACATCAGACAAGTGATCGTGGTTGGTTTCTACTTTAGTAGCAAATACATTGACTTCAGATTTGCGTACTTCTGGGTCATCTGGTGCTAGTCTGAATTGGGTATTAGTGGTAGATAGTGGTTCATCAATGAGCAGGAAGTCTGGCCCACTCCACCACTGTTCATTCTGTAGTAGCTCTGTCACACCTGTTCCCCTGGAGGCTATATCAGCTGGGTTGTCACTGGACTTAACATGCCTCCATTGCGATGGCTGACTGACTTCTCTAATTTGTTGTATTCTATTAGCTACAAAGACATGAAATCTCTTAGCATCATTATTGACATACCCTAGAACAACCTTGCTGTCAGTCCAATACACATGGGTGATGTCCTCATACTCTAACTCCTTGGCAAGAAAGGTCCCCACCTTTATAGACATCACTGCTGCTGACAACTCTAGGCGTGGGACTGTCACTGGTTTAGAGGGAGCTACCTTGGACTTGCCCATAACTAATGTGGTTGCTATTCTTCCTGTGTTGCTTTTAAGTCTCAAGTAACTGCACTGACCTAGGCCTTCTACACTGGCATCTGAGAAGTGATGAAGTTCTGCAGTAGTCACTTCACCAAAATCATTTGGCTTATAGCACCGTGGTATATTCAACTTGGTTAAGTTCAGCAAATCTGAGCGCCATCTTTCCCATCTGCATCTAATACTCTCTGGCACTTGATCATCCCACTCTGCACCGTCTCTGCATAGCTCTTGGAGAATTTTCTTACCGGCAAGGATGAATGGTGAGACAAGGCCTAAAGGGTCAAATATGGAACTTACAGTGGAGAGAATTCCCCTTCTTGTTAATGGCTTATCATTGATCTGGACCTTAAACTGAAAACTGTCCGCTTCTACACACCACTGTACTCCTAAAGCTGGGCATATTGGCAATGTGTCTCTGTTAAGGTCAATGTTTCTCATTTCTTTGGCTCTCTCTGACATTGGGATTGTATTCATCACTTCACGGTTGTTTGATACTAGCTTGTGAAGTCTTAGGTTACCTTTGTTCAGCAGCTCTCTTGTTTCTCTAACAAGACGTATAGCTTCTTCACTTGACTCGATGCTCTTGAGTCCATCGTCTACATAAAAGTCATTCTTAAGAAAGGCAATGACGTCTGGTGAATACTCATCTTGGTAGTCCTCTGCTAGTTTCCTCAGTCCATACAATGCGCATGCTGGTGAACTTATCGCTCCAAATATATGAGACGTCATTCTGTATGTGATGGGATTACTACTGAGGTCACCGTCTTTCCACCATAGGAACTGTAAAAACTTTCTATCCTCTTCTTTCACTTTAAACCTGTGAAACATGTTCTCCATGTCACCCATGATTGCTACTGGCTGCTCTCTAAACCTCAATAAAACACCTATGAGCGAGTTATTCTGATCAGGTCCTTTCAACAGGCAGTCGTTTAGCGCAACATTTTCATGTTTTGCACTGGCATCAAACACCACTCGTAATTTCTCACGTTTCTTGGGGTGATATACACCATGATGTGGTAAGTACCAACCTCCATCTTCATGAGGTGATTCTTCTGCATAGCATTTATCTATGAGGTCCTGCATAAAACTGTTATAGTGCTCATAATACTTCGGGTTGTGGATTAGCCTTTTCCTTAGCTGCTCTAGCCTGATCTCAGCTGCTGGTTTGTTGTTTGGCAATGCTGGATGTCCATCTTTAAATGGTAGTGGCATCTCGTAAAAACCCTCGTTGAAATGTATGCCTTCCTCCATAATCTTCATGAACTTCTGGTCTTGAAGGCTTAACTTCTCATCTTTCTGTTGGTCGAAACCTTGGTCAAAGAGACTGCAAACCTCAGCGGGGCTGATCTCTGTCACTTGTGTTCTAAAGGCAAAGGCATGTGTTCCAAAGCTCTTGTTCTCATCTATGGGTCTTGATTTGTCCACTGGCCCTACTATACCCCAACCTAGGTTACATCTGTATGCATATGGCTCCTCTCCTCTACCATGTACGTATTCCAGACCTCTAATGGCTTTCATACAGTTTACTCCCAACAGCAGTCCTACCTCTATGTCTGGGTGATAAGGAGTAATCTTATCAGCAATTGAGTGCAAGTGTGGCCATTTCTTAGCAGTTTCTGGTCTGGGTATCTGTGATCGCTTAACTGGAATGGAGTCTCTGGAGTATGTATCTGGGAGCTCAATCAATGTCTCTTGGTTCAGACCTCTCACAGCATTTCACTTGCATTTCTGGGCATTGGTGAAGTTTATGTTGTTCCTTGCATAATATACACTTGTGAACGTGTCTTTCGTTGCTGGATGCAGAGGTACTAGACAGTTCTGTTTGTGCTGGAACTCTTCTCCTTGGTGCTGGTATAGGTCTCTCTGGTGGTGGTGGAACCTTTCCAAAAATGGGGTCAGCCAATTTTCGTGCTTCTTTCTGCACAAAATCTACGAATAGCTGAAAGGTTATCTTCTGTCCCCTTTCCTTCCTTTCATACACTATGCTTCTCCATTTATCGTGCAATTTGAGCGACAGCTTGTCATAAGCCTCTTAAGGTCATCAGGATACTCGAGGACTGGGAAGGCATCTATTTCTTTTACTGCATACTCACATTCCCTTAAAAATATGCCGTATTTGTCTAGTGTGACATAATCATCATGCTTTATCACTGGCCACTGTAAGGCACGGTTAATATACGATGTCGCAATCTGTTCTTGGTCCCCATACCTTCTCTCAAATTCCTTCCATGCGGCCTTGAAACCAATGGATGCATCTAAGTGAGCGAATCCTAGCGTAATTTCATGAGGCTCACCTCTGGTGTATTGCAGTAGATGGTTCAGTTTTTCATCGTCAGAGTCGCATGTTTCTATGATTCTACTTTTGAACTGTCTCTTAAACAGCACATATTTGATCGGGTCACCTTCAAATACTTGAATCTGAATTCTTGGTTTACTGAGTTCCTTTGCTATCGTAGTTTTCTCACACAAAGTGAGTGGGGCACAAGATGTTAGTGCGTTTTTGGGCGTAGATGTCTTTTTTATATTTGACTTTGTGAAGTTAAAATGCTTTTCCAACTCACACATCGTTTGGTCTATATCCGACTCTACCCTTTTCAGTTCTGCTTGCAGAAGTATCATTTCTGCTCGTGTTGCCATCTTTTCTAAATACTGTGCTGATCGTCTTTCACCATATCGTCGCTGAGTTTTTACTGTTACGAATAAGCAAACTTCTTTAGTCTTTTTCACATCTATTTTATTTGCTTGTCATTGAAATTGTCACGTAGAAACTGAAATGAACAAAATACATCAAATTAAGATAGTATCCTTAAATTATGTTACAATTACAACTTATAAAGTTCTTATTAACTGTTTAAATTGCTAAATGATTCATAAAGTCTTACCTCATTGCGGGAATTAGTGACTTTTAATAATCAGAACATAATTATGATAAGCGCGTGCTCTAGTCAAAAAAGTAAAACGCTATCTTCGCCGATGTTGCATAACAGCTAAGACGGGCCAAACCTTAACAATATATGTATGGCCTTTAAGTAAAGATTTCCAAGGTATAGATACAGCTTGCATATATATATATATATATATATATATATATATATATATATATATATATATATATATAACAAAGTCACAGTCACCTCAACCTGTCTTTCTATAACAGGGTACCGAGAACTGTCATCTTTGTTAACTTCACTCCATCACATTTACAGCGACTTATTCATCCTAGTTTTAGCTGACCTGGAATGTATTTCTGAATAACAAGTTAAGAGAATTCACTTGTTCACTAAAGATACAAAACAACTGTCACTTTTACTTTAAAACACCGTTTTTAATATTTTGATAAAGTTATTTACAGTATTGATAAACAAAGTATCACGTTTTCAATAATTAATATTTTAAATTACAATCCATGTCTTGCATCACGACGACCAAACAACAACGTTGAGTCAATGACCAAAATACAACGTTGAGTCAATGTCACATTATGACGTGTTTTGACGTGGCTGGATCAACGTTGATTTTACGTTGAATTTAGGTAGATCAACGGCTATTCAACGTCCCAACCTGTTTTCAACGTAGGTCCAACGTCACTATGCCTGCTGGGCTGGTTCTTGTCGCTTTCAACATTACTAACCATTTAGTGGGATGTTTTGAGAAAATATTTAACAATATTTTGATGTTATCTATCACAACAAATATAATTAGCTTGATGCCAATGTATTTACACGTCCTTGTGTTGTTTTGGTATATATAAGTCTTCTAGAAGTATACTGTCCCTATGAAATATTTAAGATGTGCGTTGATTACAATAGGTTTTAGTTATATTATGTAAGGCTATTTCCTTAGGAAGACGAATTTAAGTTTTTACTTAGAACAACAATATGAAATTTGGAATAAAGCACAAAAGCCTACTTTTTGATTCTTTTATATTTCTATATTTCTGACCATATAGACGGATATTTTGATTTCAATGATATCTTGATGCCATCGATCAGAAGGAATATGACTATCTTGATGCCAATTAATAAGGTCACGCGCGTTATACGTCACAGGTCTTGCGTTACTACCCACGTGCTACGATTTTTCCCTTGGGGGGCAGCAAGCGGACATTTTGTACAGGAGCAATGCAAAGATGGGTGAATACGATACATTGTTTTTAACCGAAGACGATGTTCCCGGGGCGAAACTGCCAACACCATAAGTAAAGGATCATGCCAACTTTGTTTTGGAACGATGTGGTTAGCCTGTCAGTGGCGAGTTGGGGAGAAAAGAGCAGCATTGATAGCAAGGTACTGTGTACACGTGAACCGGCAAAGTTAATGATAATTTCGTGTTGCAAAAGCATAATTAAATTTTTTAGTTATTTTCCAAACGATACTATTTCAATAGCAGATACATAGATCTTACTAACGACAATGTAACATTTTGATGACATTGAAAATCAAAAGCTGATGTGCACGATAGTTTGAGGAGGACACGGCGACAGCAAGTTATGCATGAAATTTTGCTATATAACACCATATCATATGCTTGTGTCGTTGATAACTCTGTGGTATTATTGCTATTATTGCTGCTCAAATTAATACCTGATATTATTTCTCAGGCTACCAAGTACATATCAACTCATTTTTGTGGCAGTTGACCATTACATCATGTGTGCAGGTTATTATTATTATCATTACTATTATTTGATCAAGCACACTTTGATAATGTGGCCATGTTTTAACAAGAGAGAGTCAAAATTCATGCTGAATTTTAAAAGATTAAATCATCACTAGTATGTGCAATTAAAGCTATTTGATTATACATATTTGATTTTCAATTATATTGATTATGATATGCGGTTTCTGCCTTTTTTCTCTCGCCCTGAAATATAAATATATAACAAGTAAATTGATAGTGCTTTATTACATTTTTGCTTTATACTTTCAGATGCAAAAACTGCGTAGAGGTTGGTAAAGCTGTAGAGATTGATGTGAGCATAGATCAGGGGAAATAGTATTAGAGAAACTAGGAGGACAAGACATAGATAATGTACTAGTAGATCCATCATCACTGCAAGGGTAGCTTGTGTGATCCTGTCCCTGAAACTGTGCCACAAGTTTTCAACTGGTTGAGTCCTTACTAAGATAAGCCGCTGCAGTGTGAATTGCAATATGTACATTCAGGTTATATGTGTCAGATTGATGACAAAAAAGACCTCAACAATATAATTAAAAGAAGTTATCCTTGCATCTATGCCTCATCAAAAGTACACAGTGACAGTGACTAGAACATTGTTTGCAAATAGTGAGGCAGTGAAGGCTGCAAGGTGCCATTGTTTTTCAGTATTAAGAATGACAGTATCTGTTTTTTATTACTTATTCATTTTTTAACTCACTTTGTTCTTTAAAATGCCCATTCAGTTTAAGGTTGGTGGCAATATATGATAAATCTGTCATGCCTGTACACATGTATGTAGAATTTCTCTTGCTCAAATTTCTACATTTATTGAGGGCATTATGAAGTTTCCTGACTGATTAATGAGGTTACTTGTAGAAATATCTTGCATACACACATTTTGTGAAAATTTTACTACTTTATACATATGATTATTTACATCTCATCATTTGTGTGTGAAAGGTAATTTGGTATTTGCATTTTAGAACTGTAGATCTGTGTACCACCAGATTTATAATAGAGTAATATATGTTGATGTTTCTGAAAATAATATTCATGTTTGATAATTAATTGGTTTGAAAAAAAATAACTCAAATAAAATTAATTCATTTTTTTATTTTACGTAATCTGTTTTTATTATTTCTTCTAAGCATTTAATCATAACAACTCCCATGATGTCAATATACTGTTATTGTGTAATAATACTGAAAGGTTCCAAGTTTTTATGAACAGGTTGATGCTAACGTATTACAAATAGATATAAGCATCACAGCATATTTCCTTACTGATATATATCGGTATATATATATATAGGTAAAGACGACAGCATTGATAACTGGGTTTACGGCGCTGTTAGTACAGCGTAGTTAGTGTCAGATTGTTATCTGATAAAGTTTGCTACTAGTAAATGGGAACAAAAGGTCTGGCACTGGACAATCAAGTTGATAAAATCATAAAAACGCCGGTAGAAAACAAAGCATCCCTGCCCAACGTTGATTTGTTCAGATTCTTGACTAAGGGGTGCGTTACAGGTGTCAAAGGCCAAGACTTAAACTTAGGGGTTTGGAATGTCACTGGACATTCCTCTCTATTTCTACCCAAATCTAATAAAGCCTCATTTGCTTAACTTTGGCCAAATTTCCAATATCTACAGGTTGTGTAGTTTAATGCTTCGGGATTCTCTGACAGCGGTTAATGTTGGGGACAGCTGTGCGGCCCGTCAACGCACCTAGACCCACTTTTGCCAGTGCCACATTTTCCATTGCCGTAAATATCAAATTTGTGAATAGAATGAGGAATAATGACAGTTATGAAAAATGTTCGGAAGTACTTGTCACCGTCATAGTAACCACATGGGCTGTGCTGCCCCCCTCCACAGGCGACACCTTGCGGAGCAAGCGTGCGTAATCCAGAGTGCTACTGAAAATAACCTTGTCGCTCGACCTTATTTACATGTGCATGCAAGCTGTATTGATATCTACAGCAGTTCGGCTCCTGATTTTATTTTAGTCAACGGCTACTGATGAAGTTGGTAATGACACATAGGTAATCTGTCCATTAAGTTTTAGCTTTAAAATTTTACGTTCTGATTGCTGCTTTGCTGGTTTCGTTTTGGCAGCTAGGTCCACTTTCCTCGTGCGGTGCTTGAGCATCACATTGGTAAGGACAACATTTTACTCTGGCATACTACGATAATTCCGTACGTAAACGGATTTCACTTTCAAACCACTCCGTGTTTGTTTTCTTTATTTTTCAATTTTACCCGAAATACTGACATCGTAAAGATACAGATGTATTCACTACTCACCGTAACGTCATAGAGACGGATTAACCCCGTGGTACCAACGATACGTGTTTGCTGGGAAGGCAACCATTTTACTCTGGCATACTAAGATGATTCCTTACATAAACGGATTTCACATCAAACCACTCCGTGTTTTGTAGAACAGTTTCTATGTTATTGTAATAGAGCTATGTTATTGTAATAGAATTGTGAAGATTCTTTTGTCTATAGCTACTTATATTTGTCTGATCTTACCATCCCCGATGAAGTCTGACTGCAAGCAGATGAAATACTGGATGGTTAAATCAGACAAATATAAGTAGCTATATAGACAAAGTAATCTTCACAAATCCACTCCGTGTTTGTTTTCTTTATTTTTCAATTTTACCCGAAACACTGCCATTGCAAGATACAGACGTACTCACTGCCACATGAAAGCAAAAGTTAAAATTGCTTGCGATTGATATTCAAAGTTGGTCTAAGATGGGATGAAATATTAACATTGTATCTTTGCATTTGTAAGAAAAACAGATAAATGTATAGCTGCTTGAAATTCTGTTACTCAAATGGTATAAGAACGGTGTAACATACTTCATGTAGCAAGGAAATATGCATAACAGCAGAATAACACTCTTTTTAGGTAGCCCGTATGAACACGTAGTTTGGTGCTTACATTTCATTACACAATGCTAAGCTTTGAAAGCTACTGGCGAAATGGAATTGATAACATTAGGAATAGGGGGCACGCGTACGTGACAAAGCAAGATTATCTGGAATACATTCTGTTATAACTGTATCACGCATCAGTCAGGGCACAAACATCTCACAGAACTGAAGGACAGAAAACTGGTAAGGCACATACTGTTCCATTACATGCAGGGTCGGATCCAGGATGCGAAGCCGACCCTCCCCCCCCCCCC